GGAGGAGGACATGACGAACATGAATAAAGATTTTCTGAGAAGCATGTTTTCATTTAAAATTTGGAACACCAACATTATTTTCAATGAACAAGTTTTTCTGAGAAGTGTGTTTTAATTTAAAATGGATTTTCAATGAACATAATTAATTACAGACCACACACACCATAAGGATTCTGGGCGATTCTGATGGAATGGTGTCATCAGATATCATCTATAAAGGAGAAAACTTTATGCACTTTTTCTGGGGAAAAAAAGAAGAGTGTAATGGTGCAAGATCAAACTGAAATTAGAGCAGTCTCAAGCATAATAACAAAGTGAGGGCTATAACACACGCCTTAAATTGATGCTCCGACAAAAACACTAGAGATGAATATGACATAGAAATAGGCATATATATAAATCCATTCCGCAGTGGACATGAGTTCCCTTCATCATGGGATAACAGCTTCCATAAACCTATAGATTATAGTGTTAGAAGTACCATCTCAATTCTCAATAAGCGTCTTTGGCACACATGCATAACAGAAAAGACTCTTGTCAGCAACATAAAAAGAGTTCTATCTGCTATAGCTAACAGCATAGCAGCATACATTCAATTTTTAGGACCAATGTCCTTAAGGGCACAAATCTGCTCCTCTCCCATTGCAGACATGACTGTCACAACAAGGTCCTTTCCTTCAGCAAACCCATCTTTAATCTACAGCACAAAAAGATAGAGCAGAATTAGTTAGGTGAAAGTAAAGTCTATTTCTACCAAATATGTTGCACAAACTTCAAACACAAGCAAGACATAAATATACTTAAAATCACCATCTTTGTAAACTACCTGGCCCAGCAAGTTTTCATCTGTGGGAAGTCTCAGATCATCCTTGGTGTTTCCATTTTCAGTTAGAAGACTCACCTGTAAGACACACAACTCTAATAGATTAACCCAAAATTTTAAGACAACTGTTTTTGATAACTTGGCATAATATCTGGTTAACATACGAATCAAAAGAACAAATCTTAATTACAAGTTAACTTACAAAACCATCTTCAGAGATATCAATCAGCTGATAATCAGTGCGATTAACATGGGGAACCTGTGGAAAAACCGAAGAAAACAAACATGTTCAACCCAATAAGTGTCTTAGATGGAATGACAACTGGCAGTGGCAAAATAAAAAATAGAGCAAGATATTACATCACAGTTGTGGGATGAAGGCACGATATCTTCAAGTTTCTTCCCACTGAAAATGTCAATACCAACAAAGTGGCACTTTGCATGTCCATGCTTTCCAGTCTTTGAAGTTGAAACTTCTACAACCTGTTTTTATTTAAGACAAGCCAAAAAAAAAAAAAAAAACAACTTACAGGGAATACAAATATGCATGTTCATATATGTACATATGTATGGGTATTAGCATCCATCAAAGAAAACCAAACTAAAATACTAAAATAGTAAGAGCTTTGTACGTATAGCAGGAACATAAGATTATTCAACACCAACACTAAAGCTTTTGTTTTTTTTTTTTGATAGATGCGCTGGAAGAATCATTCTTTCTAAACTCTAACTTTATCTAGTGTCGATGATCTAAGGTAAAGTAAAGACATTTTACACCAACCATGAACTTTTAGGTGTCATAGCATAACAGTCTGCCTCAATCTAATTGCCTTTGGATTGGTTCTCAACTCCCTCGCATGGGAAAACTACGGAGACATTCCATACCAACATCAGATGAGTAATTTGAGTATCGCAATAGATGAACTCCAAAAACGGATTATACATTATAGCCATTAAAATTACACGATTAGGGAATCTAATCAAACTGAAGATCACAGACAAATCATACATCCGAATTCCCAAATCGAGAGCCAGATTCAATAAAGATAAGGAGTACCCATTATCGGGGATGGAATGAATCATGAACTGAACCAAAATCAATAACGAAAGATCTGTGAAAAAACAACCCCCCCAAAAAAAAAGGAAAAACAAATCGATAAGAAATTGAAGAGAAAAGACCTTGCAAGGACGGGCCTTGATGACGATGTAGCCATTCTTACGGATGGTACCAGCCTGCTGTGGGTAGGTCTTGGAGGCGCCGGCGTCGGCCTTCGAGTCGAAGTGATGCTCCTCGTCCGACATCGCTCTGTATTCAGGAATGAAGAAGACGACAGGTAGCAGATGGCAGGTCGAGGATGCCCAATTTGACAATTCTGTGAGGGGCTCATATGTCATTTCACTTGGTGATTGATAGTCGTAGATTTGATCTTGGCCGTCCATTTTCTCCCCCTTGAATCTTAGGCGTACACCTCATCACCCCTTGAAATCTCTCACACGTGTTTTTTTTGTTTTTTTCTTTTGACAACGAGTGTATGTTCCTGTGGAAAAATATTATTCTAATTGATGTTTTATTAAATTGGAGAAAAAAATTGAGCAAAAGTCTTAGCTCTTATAAACTTGCTAGCCTAAATATAGATTTGAAGAATTTTTAGTAATAATTATGAATTTATATAAAATAATATAAAAATTAAAATATTAATAAAAATTTTAATTAAAAATATATTTTATTTAAGAGAAATGAATAAGAGTGGGAATAAGAGTAGATGCAAATTTTTATTGTCTAGTTAAATTAAACTATGTGAAATATTTACTCTAAAAGCAATTAGTTTAAAACTTAACTTCATATTTTTGGAAATTGGAAATAATTTTTAAAATAAGAAAAAACTATCACGATACTACATTTGAGTGGTTTTATTAAAGATAATTTTCTTTTAGAAGTTAAATTAAATAAATTTATTGTTTTGAGAATGATCTCGTAGTTTAATGGTTATTAATTTTTTGTAAAAATCTTCTTATACTAAACTTAAAGTATGAAATTTGAGTCGTACCCTTAACATTAAAAAATATATATATTCTTTTAAGTTTTTAAAATTTAAAAATGTTTTTCTTTTTCTTTTTTAGTTTGAATGATCCAATTTCAATGGTTTCCCATCAGCAAAGGAGATAACATATTGGTTGGAGTATCTAATTCGACTGGTTCAATTTTATCGAAAAAAAAATTCTATTGAATTTGGGTCCATGGAATTTAAATTATTCTATAGAATTGGAATCCAACCTTCATGTTGATTAGAATAATAAATATAATTTTTTTTTTCTAATTTTGCTCATAATTTAAGTAATTTAGAAACGAACCCTTTTCTAATAAAAATAAAAATAAAATTAAGAAATTCTCATTGGAGTCATAAACATGTAAACATATGGTAGGAAAAAATAAAGGAGTACAAAATGGTTGTTTTATTTTATGTAAATTAAAATTAAAAAATATTTTTATTATTTTAATTATTACTATTTATTTTTTATTATAAATCATTAAATTTATTTTTTTTTTTATTTTTAAAAAAAAAGTTTATATTTTTACCTAAAAACTTATGTTAAATTTGGAAAGATGTATAATTAAAATTTAGAAAATATATTTTACATAATAAAAATATATTAAAAGTATAATTTACCTTATAAATTTATTAAAATATTTTTAATAAAATTATATTATTTCATTAAACTTATTTCAATACATTTACGAAGTGAATTACATTTTTAATGTATAATTTAAATTATAAAATATAAACCATTTAAAATTTTATAATATATATTGTAGGATTATAATTCAATACAAAATGCCACAATACACGTCAAGCACTTAGTGACTCAATGACCACCTCCTTATCAAGCACTTAGTGACTCAATGACCACCCCCTTGCGGGACGTACTTAGAATTAAAGAATTTATGATCAAATCCCAAGTCCTCTGTTCTTCCTTCCCCGAAAAAAGATTTCGCACTGTTTTAAAAAAAAAAATACCACAGTACACCGTTATTGCTTCTTCTTTTTTTGGTAAACACTGTTTTTACATTTAAGCTTGGATAAATGCTAACTTTGATCCTTCAACTTTAAAGTTTTGTATAATTTTATCTCTTAATTTTTTTATACACTTTTTTTTTTAAAAAATACATTTTTTTTTGTTTTTCTATTAATTAATCTATTAAATTTATCAAAATATGCATATTTTTAATCATTTAACTTCTAATATATGATATTTTTGTCTCTCAATTTTAAGTTAAAAGATTAAAAATATACATATTTAAATAAATTTAATAGATTAATTAACAAAATTATTTAAAAATATATATTTTTCATAATTAAGGAATAAAAAATACGCAAAAAAAATCGAGGGATTAAAATTGATTTTTAACCTTTATGCTTTGTAATTTTGCCCTTCTCAATTCTTGAGAGAGCCCAAGTGGGACCTATGGGATCATTATATCTGACTCCTTTCTGCCTCCTGGACCACCATTCCAATTTGACAACAAACTTATCATGTGGCCCATGAAGCCCAAAAAGATCCGCAGCCTCATTTAACTCTTCTGAGTTCTGAGCTTATTTTCTGGGCTCATTTTAACCATTATTATATGTAGAAAGCCCATACCGAAACTTTCCCTCTGGGTTTCAGTTTGGAATTTGGATTATTTAAAAAAAAAAAAATTCTAGGCTATGAAAATACCATTTAATGAATTGACATACTTCGAAAAATTTTGTTTTAAATCCATTTTTTTTAAGATTCATACTGGATATATGAGTATTTTTACAATTTAGATTGTCCCAGACTAAAATATAACCTTTTGTTTTTGTGTTAGACACATCTGGAAAACGAACCAATGAAAGATTGACCTGGTACTAAAGCTCTCTGCGCTTTTTTTTTCTTTTTTATTTTTATATTAATTGTGCAATAAGAGACAACAATTTTTCATCCTCACTCGCATGTCATACGACTCAAACTTAAAATCTATTACTTTCAATGAACGAAAATGATCACTGAACTATTTAAATCCTTAGTTTTTTTAGTGTTTTATATATCACAAGTATTCTATCTGTTTATTTTTAATATATTTAATTTGATTTTTAAATTTTTTAAATAAAAAATTAACAATTTATATAAATAATAA